GGGGGGAGGGGCTGTGAGGGCGATAGGAAGGGGCGCACACCCAACGGCGCACTGGCAGCCACCCGTGCACCCCCGCGCCCCGCGCTCACATGCGCCGGCAGTGTCACAGCTGCATTTCAGGACCTGACCGGCTCTCCTGGGCCTTCCCACCCAGGCCATAGCTTCCCTACTTCCTCACCTACTGGTCCCTCGTTTTTAATCAAATTTGAGAGAGAAAAGATTTTTACAAGACAGAAAAGCACAAAGAATCATATAACCAAGTCCTAAGACCAAGAACAAGCTCACATCCAGTCACTCTTGTTTCTCGTCTAGTAAAGAAAAAACATCACTCAGTGGGAAGCAGCCGCATAGCACAGGGAGATCAGCTCAGTGTCCACCTAGAGCGGTGGGATAGGGAGGGTGGGAGAGAGACGCAAGAGAGAGGGGATATGGGGATGTGTGTATACTTACCGCTGATTCACTTTGTTATACAGCAGAAACTATCACACATTGGAAAGCAATTATACTCTAATAAAAAAGTTAAAAAAAAAAAAAAAAAGAATATATTGGATGCATTTAGCTGCACAATATACCTCATGTACATAGAAATAAAGTTCCTGAGAATATATTAATAAATAGAATCAATTTATACATATATACATATATATACACACATATATATGTATATATATATAGATATGAATATGTGGTGACCAAGTTTATCCCAGGAATACAAATTGGGCTTAATATTAAAAAAAAATCAATGAATATAATTAATATTAACAGAATAAAGGAGAACCATATAATATCTCAATCTTTGCAGAAAAAGCATCTGATAAAATTCAACACCTATTACATACACACACACAGAGACAAACACACACAAGTAAACTTCAGAAAAGTAGGAACAGAAGAAAACTTTCTTAATATGAAGGTATCTACAACAAACAAATCAATAAACTACAGTTAACATCTTATTTAATTATGAAATATTGAAAAGTTGTCCCTCTAATAAGGGAAGTAAGAAAATCACATTTGGGATCACAACTTCTATTCAGTCTTGTACTGAAGGTCCTGGCTATTGCAATTAGGCAAGAGAAACAGAAATAAAAGCTATGAAGATTGGAGGGCTTCCCTGGTGGCACAGTGGTTGAGAATCCGCCTGCCGATGCAGGCGACATGGGTTCGTGCCCCGGTCTGGGAAGATCCCACATGCCGCGGAGCGGCTGGGCCCGTGAGCCATGGCCGCTGAGCCTGCGCGTCCAGAGCCTGTGCTCCGCCAAAAAACAAAACAAAACAAAACAAAACAAAAGCTATGAAGATTGGAAAAGAAGAAATAAAGCAATTACTTCAGATGATCTGCTTGTATACATAGAAAATTCAAAAGGATCTACAAGCAAACTATTATAAATAATAAATGAATTTAGTAAAGTTGCTGGATCCAACGTAAATATACAAAAGTCAATTGTATTTTTCTGTACTAGCAAAAGATTGGAAAATGAAATAAGAATATTCTATTTTAGGGACTTCCCTGGTGGTGCAGTGGTTAAGACTCCATGATCCCAATGCAGGGGGCCCGGGTTCGATCCCTGGTCAGGGAACTAGATCCCACATGCGTGCTGCAACCAAGAGTTTGCATGCCACAACTAAGGAGCCCATGTGTCGCAACTAAGGAGCCGGCAAGCCACAACTAAAGGAGCCTGTGAGCCGCAACTAAGGAGCCCACGTGCCGCAACTAAGGAGACAGCGACCTGCAACTAAGGAGACCCACGAGCCGCAACTAAGGAACCTGCCTGTTTCAACTAAGACCTGGTGCAACCAAATAAATAAATAAAAAATAAAAAGAATATTCTATTTTTAATTAGCATAAAATATTGAATGCCTAGGCATTAATATAATAAAAGGTATGCAAGAGTTTTACACTGAAAATTTCAAAGCACTGTTGAGAGAAAAAATTTTAAAAATTAAATAAATGGAGGGATATACATGTTCATGGTTTGGAAGACTCAGTATTATCAAGATTTCATTTCTCCCCAAGTTGATCTATAAATTTAATGCAATCCCAATCAAAATCTCAGCAAGCTTGATTGGGGAAATTGACAAGCCTATTCTAAAATTCATAAGGAAATAGAGAGGACCTAGTATAGCTAAAACAATCTTGTCAAAGAAGAACAAAGATGGAGAACTCATACTAACTTCAAGACTTGCTTTGAAGCTATAGTAACCAAGGCAGCTTTCTATTCTATGGAGTAGAACAGAGGCTAGAAATAGACCCATACGTACAGGGTCACCTGATTTTCAACAAAGATGACACTACAATTTAGTGGGGAAATAGTCTTTCAACAAATGGTGCCAGATCAACTGGATATCCATATTAAAAAAAAAACCAAACCTTAGATCTTTATCTCACATCTCATACAAAACTTAATTTGAGATGAATCACTGACTTAAATGAGAAAGTAAAATCATCAAACTTCTGGAAGAAAACAGAGGAAAATATCTTCATGATCTTGGGAGAAGCAAAAATTTCTTAAATGGGACACACAAGAAACACTAACCATAAAAAAGACAGATAAATCAGACTTCACTGAAGTTAAGAACTCTGTTCATAAAAAGATACCATTAAAAGAATGAAAAGGCAAGATATAGACTGGAAGAAGTTCTTTGCAATGTTTTTCTCTGACAAAGGATTTGTATATAGAACATATTTTTTAAAGTCCTATAAATCAATAAGAAAAAGACACACAACACAATTTAAAAAATGGGCAAAAGACTCAACTGGACACTTCACAAAATAGGATACCAAAATGGCCAATAAATTTACCAAAGTTTACTCAACATCATTAGTCATTAGAAAAATGCCAATTAACCCCACAATTAGATACCACTACACACCATCAGAATGGCTAAAATTAACGACTGATAATACCAAGTGTTAGCGAGGACGGGAAGCAACTAGAACTCTCATGTTACTAGAAGAGTTTCAATTGGTAAACCATTGCTTGGCAGGTCCTACAAACATATACCTTCCCTTTAACTCAGTGATTCTATTCCTGAGTATATACCGGATAAAAATTAGTGCATATGTTCATCAGAAGACATGTATAAGAATGTCAATAGTATCTCTACTTGAAATAGCCAAAAATGGAAACAATCCAAAGATCCATCAATAGTAGAATAAATAAAAAAAAACGTGGTGCATTGCTACCGAAGAATATTACACATCAGTGAAGAAACATCAAGTGTGAAACATTCAACAGTATGTTAAACCTCAAAGACATAATGTTGAGTAAAACAGGTCAGGTACAAATAAGTACTTAATGTGTGATATCATCTATATGAAGTTCAAAAACAGGCAAAAATCAATTTATGGTAATAGGAGTCAGAACAGTGGTTACCTAGAGGGGTGGGAGGCACAAGGAGCTTTCCAGGGAGCTGGAAATGTTCTATATCATGTTCTGGGAGGTGAGCACAATGGCCATATACATGTGTACAAGTTCACTGGTTTGGACACTTAAGGTGTCTATGCTTTACTGTATCTAAGTTATACCTCAGTAGAAAGATAATTAGATACTCCTTCACAAAAAAATGTATCAGAGAATCTGTCAGATCTGAGTGGTAGGGTAGGGTGAGTGGGGAAGGTAGGAGAGGACATCACGGGAGGAAGGAACAGCATGTGCAAAGAAGCTCTGGAGAACTGGAAAAATGGAAATAATGCAATGTGGTAGAGTGTTGAGTGCAGGAAAGGAGGTGGGGGAAGCAGAAGGAGAAGAGAGTGGGAGGGTAGGCAGAGGCCAGATTGGGAAGAGGGCAGGTAGGACATTTATCGTCAGCGTTCACATGGTCCCTCGACTCGGCAAGGGCTTCTAAGAGGGCAAATCAAAGGGCTAGTCCTTTCCATCTCAGGAAGGAAGGAAAGCCTTGCCTTCTGACAGCTGAAAACCAATCAGCAGGAGAAGAATGGCAATGAACAGTACATGTGCATGAGGGATCTTACTGGGGCGAGGAAACTGTTCTACAACTGGTGAGCTGCACAACTTGGTAAATTTACTTTAAGAAAAATCACCGAATCGACACTTGAAATGAGTAAATTATATAATATGTAAAATACAATCCAACAAAGTTATATTAAAAATCAGACACGGGGCTTCCCTGGTGGCGCAGTGCTTGAGAGTCCGCCTGCCGATGCAGGAGACGCGGGTTCGTGCCCCGTTTCGGGAAGATCCCACATGCCGCGGAGCGGCTGGGCCCGTGAGCCATGGCCACTGAGCCTGCGCGTCCGGAGCCTGTGCTCCGCAAATGGGAGAGGCCACAACAGTGAGAGGCCCGCATAACGCAAGAAAAAAAAAAAAAATCAGACACGGACCCTTCCCGCCTCTTGATCGCCCCCGTCCCAGAGGGGTCCTTGGGATCTCTCTGGCCCTCTCCCCGCCACTCAGCCTTGCTCTCACTTCCCTTTGCCCCACTGTTCCTGTATTTTAGCTTTGAGCACACTCGCATCTGTCCCCTCAGAGACATTCCGCTCCCCAACAGCTCTCCCAGCCACCAGGACCAGAGGCACTGCCCCCACTGATGAGACCCTGAGGTCCTGAGAGGGGATGGGAAGGGCTAATTATTGGTTCCAGGTGCCTGCTACTTGTGCTGTCCCATAACCCGGAGAAGTAGGGGTGTTCATTCCCATTTCTCAAATGAGAAGATCAAAGCCTGAGAAATGGGATGCTCATGATTTCATGGACAGGGGCAGATCCTAGGCAGCCCCTGACCTGCCACGACAAGAAGTCAAGTCCCCGGCAAGCGGGGGGCGTCTACACGGGAGGGCCAGTGCGGCCAGCCGATGGAGGGGCTGGGTGCGGGGCAGTGCAGGGCTACGGTGGAGGCGGCAGCTCTCACTCACCACTTCTTGCCGCTGATGTCATGCTGCTGCACCGTGTAGCCAAAGAAGGCGGCTCTGGAGCCGGGGATGACTCGGGGCTTCTTGATGTCCATGTTGAAGGTGTCCGTGAACCCTGGGTGGGGAGGAGAGAGGTCAGGCAGGTGGAGGTCCAGGGTCTTGGCTGTGGATGGAGTATGTTCCCCTATCCCTGGGGAGCCCCAGTTCCTGTTTGGGGAACCAACGGTCTGATGGGAAAGGCCCAGCCACTGCCCTGGGCGAGCCAATCTGATAGGGGAGGCATAGGCATAAAACCTACTCTTAGACCAGGGGCGTCTGAAGGGGAAGACCCAGGCCCTTCCCGAGAGAATTCCTGCTCCCACAAGGAAGAGACAGTCCCCGTCGCTCTCCATCACTCCTTCCTCCAACGCTGCTTCTTCTAGCTTCTGCTGGTCTCCTCTTCCGTTTTTTTTTTTTCTTTTCCCTCCTCTCTCCTCCTTCGCTCCTCACTCCTCCCTCTCTTTCTCCCTTCTCTCACCTCTGCCTGCTAAAGAGTCACGGAGCTGATTTCCTACCTCTCTCGCCTCCCCCCACAGCCCCACCAAGCCTGAGGTCCTAGTGGCCACGGCTCCAGCGCTGCTGGCTGACCACCTCCTTCTGAATCCATATGCAAAGCTCCACCTGGCATACTGCTCGGCTGGAGCAGCTGAGGCAAAGCAGAGAGAAATTCCCGTAACCCTTTCACCTCGGCCTCTAATCGGTCAGTTAACCGATTCCACCTAGTGGAAAGCCTTGGGGCAAAGAGCTCTACCCCTTTGGCATTCTTGTGCTGAATCACAAGAGATAGCAGTTCACGCTTGTATGCTGCTTAGGGTTCTGGGTCTCCTCACATTTGCCACCATTTACCCTCACAGGACTTTGGGGGAATGGGCAAGCATCATCCACATTTGGCAGAGGGGGGTTCAGACCCAGAGAGGTGAAGAGGCTGTCCAGGGGTACACAGTGGGTCAGCAGCAGCATCAGAGCCAGGACCTCAGGTACCTGCTCTGCGACTCCTTCCCTCCACGAGGCATTTTCAGGCATGTGTGGCCTCGTTACGTATCAGTACCTACAGGACCACCAAACTTGGAGCCCACGGGATTTAAGGGGTGGGATCCTACCATGAGCCAAAACTCTCAGATAAGTGAAAACCAATCAGCAGAACAAAACAGTAGACAGAATATCATTGTCGTTCCTTTCATGTGTAGGGCACTTTATAAATTTCACAGAACACTCACATACCTGCTATCATCTGATCTCCACTACAACCCCGTGATGTGGGCAGCAAAGGGAAAGCCCAGGGTCAGAGAGGTGAACTGACCTGCCCAAGGTCCCGAAGCCTGCTGGATAGGGACTCTGAATCTGAGGCTAGTACCCTTGAGCGTCCCTCTGTCCTTCCCTTGGCACGGACCCCCTGAGTCTGAGTGTTCAAGAGTGATGCCCTGGAGCATGTATTTGAGTAAGGCCTACTGTACAGGCAGGAGCAAGAGGTTTCTGTTACGCTTTCTTTTCTGCTCAGCAAATGGATACAGTGGCCAAAAATTCCATCATTAGAGTCCCAGAATTAGAGTCCCCTGAGGTAACACTAGAATACCTTAGATTAGGGACGTTAGACATGTGTTCTCACTCATCCATGTCAATTGATTATTAGTGTTGCCTGGAGCACTGAGTTAATTAAGAAGGATTCTGAGGTCAAGTCTGGGCTCAGTGGGCAAGACTAGTGTGATCAGTGAGCAGTACCTGCTGGGGATACAGGAGCAGACAGTGACAGCGAGTGGCTACGTAGCTGCCAACCCTGTCTTCATGATTGCTAATCTGCCACATGAACTTAGTGTCATAGCCCTAAGTGGGGGTGGGGGTAGAAGAGTATGTTATTTACATACTCTTATTTACAAAGCCCAGCCCACGAATGGACTTACCAGCCTGGTTAGAAGCAGGCAGCCTTGGGGAAGAGGGGCCTGGTCGGGTGAGCACAGAGGGATGAAGGGGCACAGGTCCTTGGCCAATGAGGGCATGTCACAGAGCAGAGAGAGATACTAGTGTCACCTGTGTACAGCTGGGAGGTGGACAGAGAGAGGTCGAAGGAGAAGTGGAGTTGCAGACGAGGAACTCTCCAACTCTGTCCTAGGAATGGACACACACACATGCACACGCACATATGTACACACAGAGAGGCACACGTGTGCGTGCACACATGCCCACACACAGACACACATCCATGCACACACATGCACAGGCCACGCACATTCCCTGACTGGGGGGCAACACTTTATCTGGCTCCCTGGTGCCCCCTGGAGATGTCCCCTGGTGGTTCTTGGTCCTCCCTTTCCTGCATCTGAGCCCAGCAAAGGGAGGTGACCTTGACAAGAGGAAGGCATGCTGGGCAGTCAAGAAATCCAGACCCACCCGCCACTCCCAGGCCGACAAGCGGGTGAGGGCCAGTGAAGCTAAGGCCATAAATGGTGCCTTCAGGGCCTTGTCCACCATCAGTGCTTCTTGGGCAAACATGGCCAGAAGGATCCTTCCAAGACCTGTCAGATCCAATCACTCCTCAGCTCCATATGCTTCATCATTTTCCCACCAACTCACAGTCAAAGCCAAAATCCTTACCCGCAAGGCCCTGCATGATCCCACCCGGTTCCCTCTGCCCCTCATTTCCTGTCCTCCCCCTCCATCCCTCTGCTGCAGCCATTCTGTCCCCCTAGCCGTTCTTAGAATGTGTCTGACCCGTCCCCACTTAGCATCTTTGCCCTCGCTGTTCCCTCTGCCTGGAAAGCTCCTCCATGGGTCACCTGCAGGGCTCACTCCCTCAAGTCATTCGGGTCTGTTTCAATGCCATCTTGTCCCTTACCAGGACACCCTGTCACTCCTATCCCCCTTATTCATTTGTCCTCATAGCACTTATCACTAACATGTTACATATTTATCTGTTTATTGTCACGTGGCTGATATTCTCATAATATTCTTATGTCTTCTAAGTGCCGAGAGACGCTGCTCACTGCTGTATACTTACTGCCTTGAATAAAGATCTAGCTCAGAGTCAGCAGTCAATAGATACTGCTTAATTGAATGGTTAGAGACCAGGACCCACATTTGGCTGGGACGCTCTCTCCCCTCAATGAGTAACATGGGGAAAAAATATTCACTGAGCACTGATATGTTCCAGGCACTATTCTAGGTATCTCACCAGTAATTTTATATTACTTAGTTAAATCGCACACCAACCCTGTGAAGTAGATATTATCATACCTCTGGGAGGTTAAGTAATTTGCCCCAAATCACTCAGCTGGGAGGAGGTTAGAGCAAGCCCGTGATCAGGTAGCTTAGGGCACTGGGGTGATGTGCTACCCCTGGGAGAGCAGCTTTTCAGAGAAGGACCCACTGGAGGCAGGGAAAATTCTTTTCAGAGAAACGGGTCTTCCCTCTTGCCCTCCGGTCCCACACCTCCTCTGTCTTTGGGTTTGGTTGGGGGCAGTAGATGGGAGAGGAGGCCGGCAGCCCTGTGCTCCTTCCCTCCCCCATGGGGCTTTGTCTAGGACTAGTCCTGTCTCCCCCAGTGTCCCCACCCCCCAACCCCCTGGACAGGATTAGTGAAATCTGGCCACAGGGAAGAGGACAAAAGCTCTCAGGGACAGGGCATTAAGTTACAAAGTGCTGGTTTCTTCCCCGAGTCGGCATTTGCTTCTGACCAAACCGAACCAACCAGAGAATGGATTTCCTAAAAGTGATGTCAAGTCTGACACCCTGACCTTGGCTCCCGACAAGATCTCTGGCCCGTCCCCCTGATGGCACGTGGCTTTCATGCTTGGTGAATGTACTCTTCTCAAAGATTTATGAACCCCAAATACCAATAAAAGAAAACAAAGTTGTTTTTGATGGAAGTCAACAGGCCGATTGCAGTGACAGTGGGAGCCTGGTTGGGCAGCTTGCCACTTTACTGCCCTTGATATTGATGACAGAGGGGGAAAGAAACCACAGTTCCTGGCCTGCTCTCCTGTGGACTATGGCCAAAGTTACATCAGCTGCTGCTCCCTTTCTCAGAATCTTATCTTTAAAAAAAGCATCAGCCAGTCCCAAGAGAGCACTGAAACCACAGCATGATGTTTGAGCATCGCTTGATCTCAAACCCACCACCCCAGGCTAAGGTGGAGGCTATTGTGCTATCACCAGGCAGGGTGCTCACAGTCCCAAATGCTGAGGCACACTGGCCAACACGTGTCTGGAGCTCCTGTGGACTCAACAGCTCCACAGGGAGTGCTCACTAGAGCTCAAGGAGACTCAGCTGAGCATCCATGATGGGCTGCTCCACCCTCTACCAGTCACAGCCCCCACTGCTGCCACTAGCTTCCCAAGGATCTGGGGAGAAAGTCCGAAGTCTCCATGTGGTCCCATGGCCCTCAGAGCATCCCTAGCCTGTCTCATCAAGTTTTCCTCTGGCTCCCTGCTGTCCAGGCCCCAGGGCCGCCTTTCTGGTCCTTAGATGCACCTTGCTTCCTCCCATCTTGGGGCCCTTGCACGTGCTATTTCTTCTGCCTGAGCATCTCTGATGAACTTCTCATCACCTTTAGATCTCAGCACAAATGTCGCATTCTTGACCCCTCCCCAGGAAGCTTCCCTGACCGTCCCCCCCCCGCCCCCGCCCCATTACATCAAATTTTGCCTAGTGATCTCAATGTGAGAAGCCTGGCTCCAGCATTCATTGACTAATGGGTGACCCTGGGTCAGGGACTTCTCTGGTCCTCAGTTTACTCTTCTATAAAATGGGAATAATAATACCCAAAGTGTGGTGGACAATACTGAATGCAGTGACTAACCAGTGCAGCGCCTGGTCCACGGAGAGCACGCAGTAGATCTCGGTCAGCTGGAACTGAATCAAGATTCCCTGCTCTCCGAGCTGCCTCAGTGCCTTTGCCCATGCTGTTCACCCTGACTGAAGGCCTTTCTTCCCTTCTACTCAGACATCAAGGCCCAGCTCTGATGACACCTCTGCTACAACGTGTTCCTTCCTCTGGGTTGCTCATAGCTTCTGTTGCTTTCTACCATGGATTACAGTAGTTTCCACATCTTCCCTGCTTTCTTATCCAGCTACACACTATT